TGCGCGGGCGGGCGGGGGGCCCTCATCCCCTTAAAATCAGCAGCAAGCTTTGATTTGAGTGAGACCAGGTTTTCACTCCCGGAATTAGGACATCACCCGCACCCCGGGGAGGCAGCACTAACAGCGCCCAGTCTTTTATTGCCCCCCCCCCCAACACTTTTATACAGCAGCCCCGGGATGCGACGGGGACAGGGCTCCAGCCACGGCCGCTCCAAGCCCCCGCCTGCTTTCGGGCTCCACTTGGGTCCCACTCGTGAAATAAATAAATAAATAATGAACCCCTTTGATTATTTCTCCAGGAGGGTTTGGCGCCTGGAAAACGCGCTCTCGCTCTTGAACCAAATGCGGTGTCCATACGAGGAGGGTGGGGGGAGATAGTCTAATTTTATGTCGCATCAAGACGAGACAGAAATGCGCGTTCGCAGCATCCGAGCAGCTAGAAAACACCTTGGCCGGCGGGGGGGGGGCAGGTTGCGATGCCGCGGGCTTGCACGATCCCCGCGCCAGGTGTGCCTTGCCGGCTCGGATGAGAGAGCTCGGGGATCCCGGCGGGCAGCGATCCGGATCCCAGCCCAGTCGGGCTCTTGCAAAAGGATCCGGAGCCCGCTTCACGAAGCCGGTCTTGTCGCAGGCGGCACGTCCCCGTGCCAATTCACTGCATCACGGAAGGACCCGCATATTCCCCGTCGTTAGGAAAATATCGTTCAGGGACAGGAAGGGATAATATTAGGGAGAAAGCGGCGTACATTGAACTGCATCCAAAGGAAGAAAAAGATATCGGCTTTCCTGGCCAGACAATAATTTAAAGACATCCTACTGTGCGGAAAAGAGAGATATACATTTTTTAAAGGAAAAAAAACACAAAATCAGTAAAAATTGCCTGCAGCAAAAACGAGAATGAACTTTTTGGAAATGTTACTGCAAGGCTGACATAAATACAAAGCAATTGGTTGTGTTTAGCCGAGGTTCTCTGTCAGCACATTTTTTAGGGCTGTGCACAGTAAGGTTATCGCATCATATATATTATGTGAAGTCAGAGATGATGGCATACTTAAAAGCTATTTTGTACCTACATTTACTAGGGCAGTTAGGTCCACTTAGACTTTAATGATTGCTCCTCCTGATTTGAGCATATCAGTGTCATCTGAAATTTGCATTAGTTCCATATTCTAATTACACGTCATTCATAGGACAGAGAGAAGGGATATTTATTAATATTTTTATTACAGTGGTGTCTATAGCTTCCAATCAAAACTAAGGTCCTTTTGTTCTAGTCTCTTTACACATACATAGTAACTGGAGAAGGTTGGAAATGTTTGCTAAAACAATCTTCCTTTGGAAATGCCTTTTCAAAGACATGGCTTCTTTCCTCATGAAATCATAACAATCTTGATGAACTTTCCTTTTGAAAAAAATTAGGAAATGTGTTTCACAAACACAGAAACAGTCACAGGTTAATCATTTTCATTTTGAAACAGGTATTTTAAAATTAATTTTATATACAAATAATAAAAATTAAAAATGGCCACAATCTTTTCCAAGCATTTCAAAATGTAACACAGCAAAACATTAACTAACTCATGACACTATTTTTCGTCTCAAATGTTGTTTCACCAAAATGATGACATTTTAGCATTTCATCCAATTCAAGACAAAGCATTTTTAAGATCTTGGATTTCCCCCCCGAGACAGAAATGTTTTTCTCTTAACAGCTCGAACAGGAGGCAGCCTCAGCCCTGAAGACATTATGGTCTAAACAAACAAGGCAGACAACAGATGTGAGGAGAAACTGAGGCACAGAGAAATTAAATAACAGGAGCAGAAGTCACACACAAAATCAATCGGTAGAGATCATTACTCAGGGTTTCCCAAGTTCCATATTATTCCTCAATTCTCAAAACCATGCCATAGCTCATAATAAATTTAGATTAAAGCACAAAAGAGTGGAATTGATTTTAAATGTGCAAATTTAACATCATATTTTCATACTTTTGAATAATTAACTCCTCAGTGCTCCTCTTACTACATTAATTCTAGGTCTTTCCTCCTTTTTGGCATAAAAAAGTTTTAGCTAAATATCCTGTGACAAGCTGATCCTAAATCCCATGGCAAGAATCCATGGATGTGGCAGCACCCCAATTTAGGTCATTGGAAATTGTGTGGCAAGTTCTGCTAAGCTAGGAAATTGGGGTTTATGATAATTTTATTCCTTGATATCTCTTTGATAAATACACTGATTTTCTAGGCAAAATGTAGTAGATATCCTCTATTTGGATTTCAGTAATGCTGTGCCATGTGGGAAAATCAGTTAAGCTGGGCAGTA